AGGCAGTGCCTGTCGGATTTGAACAGGGCAGTTGAATAGGGGTTGAAGTTTGGTCGCGGGGTACTTGGGTCTATGTTTGTTGGCAAAGGGGTCAGAGTCAGGCTTATTGATTTATTGAGGGGAAATGCTGTTCAATCATAGCCTGGGCAGAATGTTTGCCTTCGACTTCAGCATCCCTGCCTGGGTGCCTAAGAGTGACGTTCTGCCGCTCCCAAAACCAAGGTGGAAGCTCCTTGCCAGGTGCCAAATAACAAGAAAGCTTTCAACCAAACTCCTTAGCCTTAGACTTCTGGAAACAAACCAACCGTTAACCCCAACAATCCTGCAATCAATCATGCAATGATACTTCATCTTTAACAATCTTCAGGGATCCTTTTGATCTTGCAAGGCCAGCCCCTCTCACCGGTGCCCCAAACAACGCTCCTGCAAAGGCACCACATCCAGCTCGATGGCCGCGGCCCACACCAGCCGTTGCTGCGGAGTGAGCCAAGCCCAGCTGAGCGCCTCCCGCGCCAGGCAGTGCAAACGCTCCATGAAGGCCACGTCGCGGTCTTCCGGGCCTCGAGACAAGGCCAGTGGGTGCCGAAAATGTGTATATATGCGCCCACGACGTATGGATTGCTGTTTTGGTTTGGGGGAGCTGCTAAGTGGGTTGTCTACATATTGCTTTAGGTAGGAGGCTAGCTGAACAAAGGAAGGAAGTGGTGCTAGGTGCCAAGGGAACTAGATCAAGTTGGTCCTGAATCAACTTGCGCAACACAGACCCATGGATGCCACGAAAGGGCCAGCACAACGCTTACCCACTGATCACAACGAGCATCAATTACCAAAACAATCCAACACACACCTGGATCTCACTCCGCCTACTGCTTGCAAGAGTCTCACTGCAACAGTCTTTGCCGTCGCAGCATGTGGCACCAGCGAACCGCCCGTCCTCCTGGCAGCTCAACTGGGAACCCGCATCCTGGAATCCCGGCTTGTGTTCAAAAAGTCTCACTTGATACAGCAGTCAGTTGGAAATAATAGCAACTAATCTGCTTCAAGTTGCCTAAAAAATTGGTCCTTCTCAGCCTCGGGAGCGCTCCAGGATCTAGACCCAGCTGATGCACCTTCCACCCCACGAAGCCGACCTCCATCCTCTCAGCCATCAGCCGCATCGCGCCAAAGACGCCGACCAGGCCGAGGAGAAGGTGGCTGCCACGGCGTCCCCGCCTTCGCTGTGCCATCAGGGCCCATCAACGAGGTGCTTCTCAACCGCCCCACAGGAGTTGCGAGAACTCCCGAAGGCTCGGCGGCAGCACTCTGCGCTTGGGCCAGTGGCTGCATGGCACTTTTAGTGCAAACTTGATCGAACATGTTCTTGCCGACCTAC